TAATCATCGTCACCAGAACATTTATGATAAGTATAATCAAATAAATATATAACAAATAAAAGAGAATACAACTTATGAAAAGATTTCCAAAAAACAATATAACTGCTACTATACTACTACTACTACTACTTATACTACTACTACTACTACTACTACTACTTCTACTACTACTACTACTACTTCTACTACTACTACTACTTCTACTACTACTACTACTACTACTACTACTATACTACTATACTACCAATACTACTACTACTACTACTACTACTACTACTACTACTACTTCTACTAGTACTACTACTCTTACTAGTACTACTACTCTTACTACTACTACTACTACTACTACTACTACTACTACCACCACCACAACCACCACTAGTAATAATAATAATGATTACAATTAACAAAATATTTCTGATGCCAATTATGTTACATAAAGTGATAAGAAATGGGTGTGTTGATGATTCATATCAAATCATACTCGTTGCCCTTATATGCCAATACAATAATATAAATATTATATTAATAAGATAAATTCAAAACTTCCAATGTCATTCTTGCTGCGCTAATTAATAATGCGTTTTTAAAATAGAAGATGTAAATAGGCATACAAACAAAACAAATAATAACATAAATAAATACGCAAGTAAATAAATGGATAGAAATATAGATAATTAGATAAATAAATAGATAGATAAGAAGTGAATAATAAAATAAATATTTTATAAATAAATACATAAATAAATACATACATAAATAACTAAATATAGCATAATAAAATCACTAACAATAATAATGGAATTAATTTGATGTTATTGCTTATAGCCTACAGTAGGCCCATATATTTTTTTTTGTACCACGTAGTTACTTCGCAAAGCGTATGTGGTATAGGGAGAGGCCTATATAATATAACTCACAACAAATTCGTCAATACCAATGAAAGGTTGAAATGTTGAAAGGTTTGTTTTATTTCTTCAACGGACCCATATGGGGAACAGAAGAAATTGAGACAACTGGGACAAAGATATATTTTACAACAAATACATTGATAACAAAACAAAAAACATTTATGTATCTAACTAAAGAATGTCCATTAAAAGAGCCACAGCGAGTCACAAAAGATGTCTAAATGAAAATGCAAGGATTATACAAGAACAACAAAGAAGAAGAACGGACATGGAAAAGATAAGAGAAATAATAAAGAATGATATGCATAATTTAAAATCAGAAGAAAAGAAAAGGAAAAATAAGAACAAACAAAAACAGTAGGCAGATAAAATTAGATGAAAGAAGTGTGAGGAATTCGAAGAAAAAAATTCATGGAGAGGGAAATGACCGGACATGAATACTAATTGAAAGTTTTAATTAACCGAATAACAGTTCGCTTTATTAATTCCCGACAAGAAAAAATGAGGCGCCGAATACGAGATGAGTTAAAATTACTGCACGCGAATTATTAACCCAAAACTAATTCATCAGCATTATTATTATCATTGCAATACACACATAGCTACACCGCGGTGCAGTTACAACGTTGCTACTCGCTCACGGCTTCTCCACACACTCTCTCTCTCTCTAGCCGGCTAGGCCGGGCGCGGTGCACTCTAATGCACAGTGGTGGCGATTAGGAACACAATTACTTCATTAGATATTGATGCGTATCGATTAGTCGTCATATTAATCCGTTACCCCTAAGGCCGGAGAGGTATTAATTCTACCACCTGAAAAGGACTGGCAGAAACCAGACACCCCTAAGCCCTGAAGGGGTTACTACCACCCCCTCTCTCTTAGTCTGTCGCTACACTATCCCATCCATTTTCTTATTTTCAGTCATCTTTTCTTTCCCGCACGTTTTTCTCGAGTTCTCTCCGTTATCCATCTAAAGGAGTTATGTCGTGTAGCATTTCCAAGATGAAAAACTAATTCGGTTTATCGAGAGGAAATATCTTAACACGGTTAATAGCTTCTTTCGTTTCTTCTGTTCATTCTCTCTGTTTTCATCTTCGGCATAATCCTTCTTACTGTTCTTTCCAGTAAGGCGTATTCATAACTGAACATTAATAACATATTTTTTAAATATTTGCGGTTGATATAAGCCTTTGCATGACGCCCTGTTATTCCGCTGTAGTGTCAGCCAGTATAAATTCTGTTACTACCAAATCATATATGACTTAATACATAATATACTTACTACTACTACTACTACCACCACCACTACTACTACTACTACTGCTACTGTTAATACTACTACTACTTCAATTGCTCCTACTGATACTACTATTAACATACATAATGATGTTGATAGTTAGCGTAAAGACATCCGTATAATAAATCTGATCGTCTCGTTGAGTTTCTAATATAAATAGCAATTTACCCATATAAGAAAAGCTACATGGGTTTAAATAGGCATTTAGATATATCACTGATCATCAGTGTCAACATTCTTGAGTTAATAAAAATTAAACTTAGAAATGATCATACATTGCATTAATAAAGTGAAAAAAAGAAACACACAAGAGAAAGACAAAGAATTTTTAGTAGCTTCTAACTCAATTTCAGAACACAGTAACATGAATGCACCATGAACGTAAATAAAAACCTAAAAGATTATTAAAACAATAAAAAAATAAAAAAAATGACAGTAAATGTTAAACACTTATAACACTTGGAGGCGCGATAGCTCAGTCGGTAGAGCAGTGGTCTCGTAAACCGGTGACTCGGGTTCGAAACCAAGGCAATGCGCTAGTGCCCTTTGGTAAGGCATTAATCCTCATTGCCAGGTCCCTCGGAGAGGACCTAAAGCCGTCGGCCGTCTGGCTGCTTACTTACAAGAATTTATGCTTTCTTAGCAGTCAGGTAAAATAACTACCACCATTCAAATTCAAATTCATAATTATCATACACAAGACAGTATGTACCAACATATTATGAAATTCTCACAGTAGATTCTTACGCCCTTTTACATCAGTTCAAACTACTGACTGCACACGATCTGTTTTCCATTATGCAATGCTTATTTGCATAATTATTTATCGTGACGTTACATTTTCTAATATCTTCCGCAGATCCGACACATTCGAATTATTCAAATGCAAGAAGTACATACGATGTCATGATTGCGATTCACTTACGTTTAGTATAACTTCATTATTATTTTTTGTTTGTTATTATATTCATTACAATTCAATTCAAAGTAACATTTAGTTTGTTCCAATGTTTGTAAAGATATGATAATGACATAATATTTTTTTGTTAGATATCAACTTTTTGATTGCCTAAAAAGTCGAATCGAATATAATTGTTTAGAAATAAGGTTATTGAAGTACTAGAAAATGCACATTAGAAAAACACATGTCGCTTCTGTTGTATTCTATTGGACCAGTTGAAGTACTCTTCTGCATGCATTTCTTTTTTGTTATTTATTCGTAGTCCATAGCAACGAAAATTGGCCAATTTGGATGTTCCCTAGTCCGATGTCCACGTGATGTTAATAATGTTCATTCCGAACATGCAATCATATATTTTCCCGCGGGAAGGTTTTTTTCAATCAGCTGCACTTCACTCCGATGTCTGGAATTCCCGGTATACCTTCCGTCATAGGCCGCAATACACGTGGAAGTGATTTTCTATTCCCGAGGCGCTTGTCCATCCTGTTCCCGCGGGAATATTTCTGTCCTACTCCCATAGTGATTTTCCCGTTCATTCGTTGAGTCCCTTAATTTTAAGATGTTTTTCTCCTAATTTGTTTTAAAAAATTCTTCAAATTGAACTTCATTTTTCTTTCTGATTCTTCAAATGAAATAACTGGTCAAATTCCCGAGTATTTCCATTGTAACACATCGTAGCTGTCGATTTTCCCGGCTTTCACCCAAGTCTGCTATAATACACATACATCCATCCATGTACCTTTCACGCGCACACACACATCACGCATTCCAACGCGTCGAGTCCAGTTAAAACGTCATGCTTTCCTGCGCGTATGTTCCTACTCCACGCTACTCCACTGCTCCTTATAGTGTAATATTTTCCCTGGTTTAATGTTGTTCCTTACTAAGGACTCCAACCAGCACCCAGAACCATCCCCTACTAACACACAGAAACATACTGACAAAAATCGTTTTCCAGCATTGGTTTTTATACACTTCTCTTATAGATCGGGTCTATCTGATTTAGCTGCCGAGAACACCTTTTGGATGTAACGATTTTAAAGAAAAATCGAAATGAATCCATACTTGTCCCCCTCAGTTTAGTTGCGAAAACCCGGCGTGCTTTTATTTTTCTCTCTCATTTTCCTTTTTTCTCTGTCTATTCGTCATCCCCAAAAATCGACTGGAAAAAGTACCAGCACATAGGGAAGAGTGGCGAGGGGAAGAAAAAAAAATCGAAGCAGTGCATTTCTCGTAGAAAGTCGATTTCTCTCTTTCTCTGACTCTCTTCATCTCTCTCTCCCCCTCTTGCTTTCTCCCTTTACATCTTTTGGTCTGCCCTCTCACATTCTCTTTCACGTTCCTTTCTTTTGGAAGAGTTGATGTCGTGCCTTGCCTTTTCTTTGGTATTATAATGCCATCATCATCTTCGTCTTTCAAGTTTCAAATCTTTATCTTCTGTGGGTATTGTCCTGATATTTCTGTTGCAAATACCTTAATATATCATGTTCCTAGTTGTTGTTCCTTGATATACTATATCTATTTTATTTTTCCCGTCTTCTCTCACTCTTTTTCCGTCCATCTGTCTATCTGTCTGTCTCTCTTTTCTCTTTCTTCCTCTATCTGCCACCTCTTACCTTTTGTTATTACTGTTTTGTGTTGTACATCTATCTCTTTTTTAAACCCATCTCTATTTTTCTGTTTCTATCTCTCTCCCTTTTCTATCTCCTTTTCTCTATCTCTCTCAACCCTCTTTATATACATCAATTTATCTGTCTCTCATTCTGTGTGTCGTTCTGTCTGTCTGTCTCTCCTCGTCTCTCCCTGTCCTCTCTCTCTCTCTCTCTCTCTCTACATCTCTTTCTCATTCTACCTCTCTCTCTTAATTCCCCTCTCTCTCCCATTCTACATCTCTCTCTTCAACTCTCGAGACAAACAGATAAACCCGAAACCTTCCATCCAAAGAAAAAGACAAAATCTTCTCCAAATCGACTCAAAATCACGAACTCCCGACGAAGATAAAGAAAACCCTTAATATCATAAACAGAGAAAAATGATCTGCGTTTAGCAAAGACGAGCGAGAAATTTTCGCACACTACAACCATGGTTGCGGTATAAGAAAGAAAATTCGATATTTTCACCAAGCAGCCATGATTACTAACTTTATCGACCCCCGTCACAGTCTCGAAGCCAGGCAGGAGCTCAGGCGAGATGACTGGAGAGAAAACCCGGCTTCATTTGAAATCGGAGAAGGGATGAGGAGTGAGGGAAAGAGATGGAGATACGTGGAAAGAGAAAGAGAGATTGAACGTAAGACATTATAGAGGGGGGGGGGGGTGATGAATGAGAGAGGGAGGGAGAGAGAGAGAGAGAGAGAGAGAGAGAGAGAGAGAGAGAATGATAAATGTTGAACATGTAGGCCTATGTGGAATTATGGTATAACATTATGTACCATAATAGTTATGTGTATGATCCCTAAAATTATAATCACCACCAGTTTTAAGATGATGTTTCAATTTTTCAAGTTTCAAGTTTATTTCTTCCACATTTTACAAAAAATATAGACAGACATATAAATTAGAAATTATATATAGGCCTATATATACATGTAGTATGATCACGTCTCAATGATACTCAATTTATATGATAGATTAAGCAGAACCTATTGAAAAGCAGTGCTAGTATATTACAGGTTACCGCTTTATAGTCATTGTAGATGAAAAACCATAGTAATAGGCCTATATAGAAAAAGACGTAATTTAGAGGGGGGCATTTAAAACACGATGGAATAAGGAAATGTGTATACAAATGCATTATCACCAATACCTAGAGTTCGAATACTTCCTTCCCTCACATGAACAAATAATTTACACGACAGATCAATATTGATATTATAAAACTTCTCCCTTCGCTTTTCCCTCTACCCTAATATCTTCTCCATCCTACATGTCTCCTTTTTAAGGCTTACAACTGAAAACATAATGTGAAATATAGCCGAGTCTACAGCTGTACACAATATCCTGAACTCAATTTCCTGTTAATATTGCAAAACCCCCCTCAACTTGTTCTCTCACCTTTTTCAAAAAAGCGTATCCTTAAAACCATTTCATTTTCCCATATAACCTTATAGCCCATAGCTTCTCCATAATAATATTACTTCAGTGAAAAACCTACTCTATATACCTCAGCTTATATTTATGTCTTCTTTATTATTTTCGTCATCTAAATTGGTAAAGGCCTCTTAGTCGCAGTTTATTCTCATATTAAGCCCACCTTCATAATTATTATGCTCAGAATACTATGCCCCTTCATAATAGCAGTCGCTGCTCCATAGGTTTCTATACAACACATTTACTACAACATGCCTCAGCATTTCTCTATACAGCATCTTTTCTTCATAATATATTTCTCTCTTTTTCGCCAAACTGAACGTATTTTTTCCAAACAGAGGCGTAGTGCAAGTCTACCCATTGTGGGGCACTATGGGGAAGGGGGAGGGAGCCTTTTTGGGGGAAGGTTTTTGTATAGGAGAGGGGTCGAAGGTGGTTTGGGGCTTCTTTTTTTCCTCGTCTGTACCCCTTCTCCCTTTCATTCCCTCTCTTTTCTGGCTCTTTCTTTGATTATTATATTTTTTCTCAGTTGGGAAGGGGCACATGCCCCCCTGCCGCCCCCTTTCGCTACGCCACAGGTTTCCAAAGCCCATCTTCTCTGTGTGTTTTGAACCGAGCCGAAACACCTGCCCTGATTATTAGCGCGATCTAGCCCCCTCAACCAAACGTAACGAATTTCCGGTTTCATGATTAAAGTCACCAAGCCCCGAAAATCTGTGAAAGAGATGGGGAGAAAGAGGGAGAGAAAGGGAGAGGGAGAGATGGAGAGAGGAAGAGAGAGAGAGAGAGAGAGAGAGAGAGAGAGGATAGAGAGAGAGAGAGAAATAGTGACTGAGATTTGAAAGAATGCAGAAATGGAAAAAAAATCGTAAGAAGAAAAAAGAAATTATGATTGTACAGGAAAGGGAGTAAAATGGGGAAGAGGCGTTCAAAAGATTGATATAAAATTAATAAGAAAATAAAGATAGATACACAAATAAATAGAGAGAAGGAGAGAGAACGAAAGCACAAAAGAAAGAAATGATATAGAGATCAAAAGATATGGGAATGGGGATAAATATATATATAGAGAAAGAACATAATTTGTTTAGAAATGGGATAAGAGAGGTGTTATCCAAAAGATAATTGGCTGTAGGGATGGAAAAGGTGTTAGAGAGAGAGAGAGAGAGAGAGGTAGGGGGTTGCGAGGGGAGCTGGAAGAGAAATGAAAGAACACCCGCTAAGCGTCGTGTTTTGATTTCTTCTGATAATGGAAAAGACTCATAAGGTTCATAAATTATAATGTATTTACACTCTCTGGATACTCGTATGTTAAGTATTTTTGCTTCTCGACCTTTCAGTGCCGAAGGGCGATCCTTTATTATGTTCATTATAATATGCCTCACGTAGATATGCAATATACTGTTCAAATACAAATATGATAAACCTGGAATTGAGCCCATAAATATTATCCTAAATTAAAACAAAAAGTTGTGAAATTCTACTTGAAGTTCACGAATGCGCAGTTGCTAAGACTAATGTAATGGTTAGCAATACAAACGGTCATTTTTTAATTCTTTTTCAACTCTATACATTTTTCCATTTCACGTTTAATTTAATTTCATCTTTACCAAAGATTTTGTCGTTTGCTGAATATGATAAAATTTGATTTCCATGAGTTAACGAGTGATTGAGTATGAGTATAGTAAATTTGCACCTTCTGCATATAACACTGAAGGGAGCTCAGAGGCGTGTTTGTTAATGTCATTTTTTAAAGAGTGGTCCTAGGAGAGATCCCTGAGGAACTCCACAACATATTTTTCCGACCATTTGGCCAATAATGATAATTTTGTATAATGCTGATGATTTTCTAATATTTAATAAACAAAATATTGATTAACAAACAGAATACCATAACTTGCATAGTGAAACAGCCTACTACTACTACTGCTAATACTACTACTACCACCACCACCACCACAACCACCACCACCACCACCACCACCATCACCACCACCACCACTACAACTACTACTAATACTACCACCACTCTTCTATATCTTATTACTGCTTCCAATGTTTTCTAGGACGTGGGTGATATTCGAATGTAGGACGATATAGCGTGTACTACAACTACTGCATCTACTACTACTACTACTACTACTACTACTACTACTATTACCACTATGATTATTACTACTACTCTTTATACCTTTGATATATATTTCCTATTCGAATGAAGGGTGCAATATCGTCTACTACTTCTACTATACCACCACCACTACCACTAATATTACTACTACTGCTACTGCTATTACAACAACTACTAATGCTGGTACTTCTACTACTACTACTACAACAACTACTACTGCTACTACTACTATACGAGTATCACTACTACTCTTTATACCTTCGATACATATTTTGACTATACTACTTCCAATATTTTCGAGGACGTAGGGGAGGGGGGGGGGGGGGCTGATATTCACATGAAGGATGCAATGTCGTCTTAAGGCCGAGAAGCCACAATATTACCTCGTAATTATTACTTTCGATGTAATATAACGCATCCGCGATACGGGTACGCGGGCACTGCCTAGCCTCCGCAGTGGGTAAAACACAATATATATATCCTTTTCCTCCACATCATTTCGTGTGGAAAAATCAATACTTTGCGCGCCGAAGTGGCTGGCATGCGACAACAATATTGAAATGCAATGAGAAAATGATACATCTTGCGTCGTGAAAGAAAATATTGGATGTGTTTTGGAAATGATATAGCTGCAGAAGCAAAAATGAGATGTAATGATGTACGAAAGGGCGAGTAAGGGAAATGGAGAGGGGAAGAGAGAGAGAGAGAGAGAGAGAGAGAGAGAAAGAGAGAGAGAGAGAGAGAGAGGGGGAGAGAGAATCGGTAGAAAGTTTGAGGAAGAAGAATAAAGTGAATGAGAGAAAGAAAGAGAAAGAGAAGGGAAGCAAGATTGAGAGGGAGAGGGGAAGGAAGAGAGAAAGAGAGAGAGAAAGAGAGAGAGAGAGAGAGATAGAGAGATAAAAATAAAGAGCTAGGCCTATGATTAACAGGTAATTAAGGAAAAATAGAAGAAGAATGACATGTACGAAATACCGAATAATGCTCTTGTTTTATTTTATTTTTGAGAAAGCATTCACAAATTAGTTTCATAACATTTTAATTTCTAAAGAACATTCGTAGGCTTCTCATGGCAGTCCTGGGGAAAAGGAGGATATACGCCGTTTATTAAAGCGTAGCATATATGGAGCTTGCAGTAAGTTGTGTTTCCCCATACAGTGTGCAACATCACAGGCAATCTATCTAGTTTTAAAAAGACACATTGCAGATGAAGACGGGAAAAAAAAGAAGAAGAAAGATAATTTTTGATCGCTCAGCCACGGATCGGGATGTTTTCTCATGAGTTTGTTGTTTCATCTTTCGGGTTTGGAAGACGTTTGATGGAGGTTGATTTGGTTTTGCCATCCTGGATGGCCGTGAGATGAAAGCTGACAAAACATCGTTCGGATGAGGGTCGGATGAGAGAGAGAGAGAGAGTAGAGTGGGGTAGGAGGGAAAAAGAGGACCAAAAGAGAAATAGAGCAAGGCCAGGAAAATTGCACTAAAGATAGAAAGCAGGATCAGGGTGGTAATGACGATGTTTGTGATGATGATAATGATAAGGAGAAGGAGAAGGAGGAGGTGGAGGAGAAGGAGATGAATAAGGGTTATGAGAATGATGGTGAAGATGATGATGATGATGATGATGATGATGATGATGATGATGATGATATTGGTAACGATGAAGACGAGGAGGAGGAGGAGGAGGAGGAGGAGGAGGAGGACGAGGAAGAGAATGAGAATTGAACCAAATGAGGATTGCAGGAGCATGATGAGTGATGATGATGATGATGATGATGATGATGATACAAAAACAGGGTTGTATAAGAAAGAGAGAGAACGAGAGTAGGGTGGGAGAAAAAAAAAGAGGACAAAAGGAGAAATAGAGCAAGGCCAGGAAAATTGCACCAGAGAAAAAAAGCAGGAGCTGGGTGATCTTGGTGGTGATAATGACGATGTTTGTGATGATGATGATGATGATTATGACGATAAGGAGGAGGAGGAGGAGGAGGGGGTGAATAAGGGTTATGAGAATGATGGCGAAGATGATGATAGGGACGAGGAGGGAGAGGAACAGAATGAAAATTGAACCAAATGTGGATCGCAAGAATAGTATGAGCGATGGGGATGATGATGGTGATGATGATGATGATGCGAAAACATATCGGTTGAAGGTTGGATGAGAGAAAGAGAGAGAGAGAGAGAAGGAGAGAGAGAGAATAAGAGAGAGAGAAAGAGAGAGAGAGAGAGAGAGAGAGAGAGAGAGAGAGAGAGAGAGAGAGGGGGGGGGGGGGGGGGGAGAGAGAGAGTGTGAGAGAGGGTAGGTGGGAGGAAAAAAAAGAGGACCAAAAGAGAGCAAGGCCAGGAAAATCGCACCAAAGATAGAAAGCAGGAGCAGGGTAATCTTGGTGGTGATAATGACGATGTTTGTGATGATGATGATTATGACGATAGGGAGGAGGTGGAGGAGGAGGAGGGGGTAATGGTTATGAGATTGATGGCAAAGATGAATATGAATATTAATATGATGATGAAGATGATGATGATGATGATGATGATGATATTGGTACCGATGAAGACAAGGAGGAGGAGGAGGAGGAGGAGGAGGAGGAGGAGGAGTGACAGGAAGTGAATGAAAAGTAAACCAAATGTGGATCGCACGAACAGGATGAGTGATGGTGATGATGATGATGATGGCGACGACGACGAGGAGGAGGTGGAGGAGGAGGGGGTAATGGTTATGAGAATGATGGCGAAGATAAAGATGAAGAAGATGAAGATGATGATGATATTGGAGACGATGAAGATAGGGATGAGGAGAAAGAGGAAGAGATTGAAAATTGAACCAAATGTGGACCATGTACAGGATGAGCGATGGTGATAATGAGGATGATGATGATGATGATTGTGATGATGTTATTGTTGGCGTTGGTGATGATGTTAGAGATAAGTTTGGTAAGTTTGGACAAAACTATTTTTTTTTGGTTGTATAAATGATGATTATGGTGATGATGATGTAGTTGTGTCGGGTACTGATAATGATAGTGATGATGATGATGATGGGGGGGGGGGGGGGGTGGTGATGATGATGATGATGGTGAGTATGATTTTGATGATAATCATGGTGAAGGAAGATGATAAGAAGATATTGTAAAAGTGCCAGGATCAAGCGACTTGTGCACATTAAGGGACATCTAGCGACTAGCATGCTGTCAGGGGTTATTTTCAATCAAATGAGTAATATTCAAACAAGCTCTATTTGTTTGTTCGTCAATTTTGAGACTGTCATCCAGTTCTGTCACTCGCCCCTCGATCTATGTCTAACTGTTCCTTCTCTCTATCTCCCCATACCCCTATCTCTGTTTCAGATACTAGATTTAGCTAGCACGGGGAAAATGATATTTGAAAAAAGTAATCATCGAGCATGGAAAATTTAGCACCCTTTTCTCAAATTTGAGGTACCCAATAGTAAAGCGAATTTGAAGAACGGGGAAAAATGTATCCATATAGGGTTCATTTTGTGGGTTACGTTATCAGCATATATTTTGTGTGTGTCATTTTTTAATCGAAAATTAGCGTTTTTTTCACTCTCCCCACCCGCCTTCTCTCTCTTTCTCTCTCTCTCTCTCCTTCTCTATCTCTCTTTCTCTCTATGTCTTTCTCTCTCCTTCGTTTTCTGCCCTTCTTCTCACTGTTCCTTTCCCTCTTCCTCTCTCCCTCCCAATCTCTCTTCATCCCTCCCTCCTTTTCTCACTCCTCTTTCTCACTCTTTCTCTCACCCCTATACATCCCTCTCCCTCCCATCTCTCTTTTTCCTCTCCATTTCTAAGTTCCTCACTCTTTCAAATATGAATCAAAATAATGTGAAGATTCTACAAGCACGGAAGGGGGAATGCTAATCCAAAAATATTAATCAAACAGGGAAAATCGGGCTCCATTTCTCATAAAGTCAAACTGATTAAAATTCACTTCACAAGATTTCAGCGGACTTCTGGCGCCTGAACTATCAGAGACCCCTGCAACGTGTCGATGAATACACACAGCTCTAACATGAGTGTGTGCACTT